GCTTTCTATTTATACATTTTTGAATTCATTAAAACTAGCATTTAAAGTTAACTAAGCAATAAATTACTTCAGCCAATAACCCATGCAATGTGAAACCAATCGAGGTGTTTCTTTATTTAGGCTATTGACCTGCATAAGGCAAACAATAATTATATAGGTCAGTTATATGCTGACATAGAATAAAATAATAATAAAAACAAAATTAAAAAATGTGTTAGTAAAATATGTTCTTTTGAACAGGATGTTACAAACGGAATGACAAAGTTATACACCCTCCTTCCAAAGTGGAGCGTATAAAACAGCTTAAAACCTGAGATCACTTAGGAATCGTCCATATGTGCACATCGGGTGGCATATCACACCAGCCAAAGTTCATCAAAGATAATTGTGGGAAATGTCTAGGGTGTGGTAATTTCTTAAATACACATCTCGAAAAAATGTTACATCACTTATAGGAAAATTTTGTAAAACATCTTGAAATTTGATCCATATATTAAGTTGATATATAATAAATGTAGATTTTATGTTTTTCGTGTCTTTTTATACAATTTTACAAAGAATGTTTTTGTCAAATACGGGCATGGTCCACCAACATTTTCTTCTGAGTGTATTTTTTGTTTTTTTTTTTTACAAAAAAAAAAAAAAAACTAATTGTCATTTAATAATAAATTCACAACGAAATGCAAAGTCATGCTCACGTAGACCCTAGACAGCGTCTAAAGAACCACCGCAAATGAATGAATGAAAATGAACTCAGCGGCCAAGTGTTTTGTTAGTGGTTTATGTGTAGTTCTTAGATGAGCAAAACAGTACGTTTGCGATGGTCTCGGTCGTTGATTAGATTTCAACGAATGTAGACATGCGTGGGGATGCACGCATTGTTGCTCCGTTAATATTAAGAAAACAAATTATAGATAGCTTTTGTAGAAAATATAAATATATGGAGTTTTTATTTAATGTTTTTTGATAATTTTGCTAACATAAAATTAAAATTCTTGCTACAAAACGTCCAAAACAAGAAGGGAGATATTTTTTACATGCTTTTTGGTTTCTCTCACACACACAAGCGCAATGTTCATTTTGTGCATCATAGGTGTAGTTGTAGCTATGTGACTGTCTGTCTGTCTGTTCGTTGGCTTAGACGATGATGTTGTAAAATCACACAGACGCACACATGGCTTATTATTTACAAATTGTGTACTAATGGAATACGCGAATGCCAACCAACCAGCCAGACAGGCAAATAGGCTGAGCGAAAGCCAGCCAGACATGGAAACCAAAAATTGTGTAAGAATTTGAACTTGCGTTCGTTTCTTTTTTTGTTCATAAAAAGCAAAAGCAAATTATCGTGTAATAAAATGAGATGTGCACGTGTTGTAAAGTGCCATGCAGTTCCTGTGAATAAATATTGCTCAATATTATTAAACAAATACAGAAATATTTAAAGTAAATAAATACGAGCAAAAACAATATTCATGGGGAAATTATGGTAATCGTATGTATCAATTTACAAAATCAAGTTCGATCGATATTTAATGTTTAGGTGAACATGTAATACCCTCAACCATTTTGAAGGATTACGAAAAGTTTCCAAAAAATACCCCTCAAAGGAAACCCATTATATGGAAGGTATACGAAGACGTATTCCAGAATATCCAATTTTTTGTCGTAGCCTGTATTACCCATTACGTACTTTAAATAAAAAATTTAAAGAAATTCCGGTAAAAAAATATGGCAAAAATCATCAAAATAGCGGATACCGGGCGGTACCGTTGTCTGGGGGAAATACGATATCGTGGGCCTATATAAAAATTTCTCTTTCAGGGCTTAAAGTACGCAGAAGGAACTTCTTGTGTAGAATTTCGGACAACTCAATTAAAAAATGTGGCTAAAATCATCAAAATACCGAATATCGGGAGGTATGGTTAATTGGGGCATACAGGGTGAGATGAAAAAACTACAACCAACTTGAGACGGCTGTCATTTCTAAGCCACTAGTCCAACAGCTGTTAAAATTATTCCAGTGACAGCTCATTATATGGTTTACAAGCGTACAAAAGCATTTTGGTGAGAATTTTCCAGGAAAAAAGTTATTCGTGATGGAATTCAAGCGTGATAGTGTGATTTCTTTATATTTGGCTAGAAAACCACAAGTGGCTATCGTTAGAGCACTCCAGCATTTAAATGTGAACAAATCTTTTGTGTCTCGTACCAAGCGACTTGATCGAAACCCGCGTCGCAGTGGCCGAAAAATGGCTGAACATATAGCAATATTGCATTCGGCAAATATTGAAAAATGAAAAATGCAAGAACTTACACCGCAACGGAAACGGAAAATAGTGGTTACTTGCCAAAGAGGCCAGCTGAAAATTAACATCTTCGGTTGGCCACCAGAACTCAAGCGCCGGCCATGGTGATGGTGTGGGCCGCCATAAAAACCGATGGTCGCTCTTCGCTCGTATTAATCGACCGTGGCATCAGAATAAATGTCGAATATTATCGCGAAAATATTCTGGAGGCTGTATTAAAGCCTTGGGTACACAAACATTTTGGCTGCAGACCTTAGACATTCCAACAGGACTCAGCATCATCGCACCCAACACACGCCACTCAAGCATGGTTACAAAATGAGGTTCCTCGCTTCATTTTCAGGACACAATAGCCACGAAAATCTGCGATTACCAATCCGTTGGACTATTGTGTCTGGAGTATTTGGGAAAACAAGGTTGGCACTAAAAAATACCAAAGTGTCGATCACCTCAAGCAAGCGCTTCTTCGGGAATAGGCCAAAATAACGCAGAGCAACATTCGGGCAGCGTGTGACAGTTTCATTGGCCGTTTGAAGGCCATAATTCGTGCCAAAGGTGGCCAATTCGAATAAATCTAAACCTATTTAAAAATGTGATGCTATTTCCGACATTTTTTGCTTTCATTCAATAAAATTAAAAAAAATGTTAAAAATTATGGCGATGTATGGTGGAGGGTATAAAAACGGCTACGGCTTATCAACCAACAACTTTAAATGTAAAATTAAAGCTGATGTGGTTGAAAATTCTGTTTACCGTTATATTGGGGTAATACCTAAACGATGGACCGATGTATTATGAGTGCTAGAAATGTCGATGGTAAATTTCATTCAATTATATCAAACATTGAGACCTCGTCGAACAGACGTCATTAAATTAGGGCACACCAATGAATATTTCGAGATTTTGTGAACTTTATGACAAAGCTATTATAACGCCCCCATCTTATGGTTTGTTATTATTTGACCAAACACAAATAAAAAACTTTTGTTTATTTTGAATGATTAATAAACCCCTTTGCCAATTTAAAATGGGTGATGGTACATTAAAACTTCTCAAGATTTGTCACATGATCGCATACTTGCGTTAATCTTTTTAAGTACAATTATAAAAAAAAAAAACACTGTGCGACATTTTTTAACGACTTGACTCAGATTCTACTTCAATGGGGTATATTTCCCCTTAATATTACTTAAAATTGTTCAGCAATCACACAGCACAGTTTTTCTCATTTTAACTCAGGAGCGAAACCGGCTCGCGAGCAGGATTACTCGAAGAGTCGGATTTATTTACGGAGTCTATTCTCCACTCTTTTGTTTTGTGTGGGACGACTCCTGAGTCAATCCTGTTTGAAAATTATCCGAAAACTTTATAAAAAAAATCCGAAAAAACAGTTTTTTTTTGTGTAACAATAATGTAGATATTTTGTTGATATATAATGGAAATAGGGAAATTTGAATAATAATAATTTTGTCCTTGACGTCATCATTCTAAATTGTTTTAAGGGAAAATTTCGAGAAAAAAAATACGCCCTTTGATGAATCGCTTCAAGGTTAATATTTTCGCTCAAAATAATCCTCGTATTGTTATCTGTAATTTTCCTGAGATATATATCTAAATGTAATGAATCTAAGAACTCTTAATCTGAAAATTTCAAAAAAATGTGGAAAGGCAAGCAAAATTGTCGCATTTAGAGCACAGAAAACCGGCACGCATATATTGAAAAGCCGATGCAGCCAAAACGAGTCTCTGTTTAATTTTGATTTTGGAACAGCGAATAACTGGGCAATTTTTTTTTTAAATGAACAAGATGTGGTCTTTACGTTATCAGGTCATGTTGAACGAATTTTTGTTAATAAAAATTGAAGAGGCAGATATTGGCAACATTTGGTTTCAACATTACGGTGCTAGGTGCCACACAGCTGAAGTTACACTAGATGTCTTACGTTCTGTTTTGAAGATCGCGTTGTCAATCACAGAGCTAATATCGGTCGGCCAAAACGGAACTGCGATTTGACACCATTGGACTTTTGTTTGTGGGATACCATTAAAGATAAGAGTTACGCCGACAAGCCAGAGAAAATTGATGCCTTAAAGAACAATTTTGGTGAAGCCATTGGCAAAATAAAGCTGCACACAATCGATACAGCCGAGGTAGCCATTTGAATGAAATTATTTTCCATTATTAAGCGGGCTGATTGTACTTCCAAATAAAAACAAAATTTTGAAAAAAAAATATTCAGTAGATAGTTTTTATAGCATATAACAAAATAAATAAACAACTTTTTGGCGGACCCTATACCTTTAGCTCTAGTTTCATAATTCAATGAGTTTTCCTGTAATTATAGAAAAAATTACATTTTGTCGAACAATGTTATTTGTATTCGATTCTGAATTATTCGTATGAAGGTGTCAACTATATATTTAGGTGCAAACGTATTCCAAATGGTTATCCATATTCAAACATGTTTGAATATTTATCGAATTCAGAGACTCACAGAACCCACAGATTGGAGGGGGTTTTGGAAGCTTGTACTTTGTTGCCAGACAATATGACGTAGGCAGGAATGACAATTGTGTATATGTTTGCAAATACATGGGCGTGTAGTGTATCATGTTGGTCTATCACGCATCTTCTTTTTATTATTTGTTTGTTTATTGATTAATTTGATTTATCAAAAATAAATTCTTTACCTTCAACATCCATTGGCATTTGATGTTCCAATAATCCTACATTATTATTATTATTATTGTATCCTCGATGATTGTTATGATCCCTGTTGTTGCTGTTATTGTTGTTGTTGTTGTAGTCGTATGGATCATTTGGTTGATTCGAAAGCACAATACGACTAACAATACTGTTTTCTAGACGGCGAGGCATTGCTCACTTTTTCAAACTTGTAAATATTTTAATAAATAAACTTCTTGATCTTTCGTTGTTGTTGTGGTGACGTCGTCTCGTGACTTTTATCTGCAGTGCGGGAGTTTTCCCAAATTCCAAAAATTAGTTTCTGTTATAGCTGATTGTTTGGACGGAATGGGGGGGGCAAAGTTCAATGATTGGCTGTTAGGTAGGTGTGTGTGCAAATTAGTTAATAACACTCGCTCGCTAACTCACTGGTGTTATCATCAACCGACTACGTTATGTAGACCCACTTACATACGCAGCACAGACGGCATCAAATTTAAACAAATACATGCTGACATCACTAAAAATAGCATGACGCTAACAGCAACAACAATTTTTTTTTTTGAAAAAATATGTTGATAAAAAAAAAATTTATTTATTTATTTTTGGCCTCTGCGTTTAATTAATATTTTAAAAAATCTTTTTCTATTATTGTGAAGCTCACGTGGGTATTTTTTATGTTTAAACTAATTATTAAAATAGGATTTATTAAGGCTTTTGCTTTTTTGTTTATATGGCACTTTTGTTAGAATATTAGCGTGTTTTAATTTTTCTGCTGTTTTGTTTTTTTCAACTCTTTGGTATTTTTCCGGTACAAACTATAAGTAACACGGCCGTGTTGAAACTAAATCAAGTGAATATTTTTTTCTGTTCGTGCAAACTCTCTCGTAGTCAGCGCCAATCAACCAAACAAACCGAACAACCAACCCGGCCGTACAATGAAATGGCCAAAATTTCCAAAGCATACCACCACTACTCAGCGGCGACATCGATGTTGTTGGTGTTGGAGTGGTTGATGTTGTTGTTGTTGTTGTTTTTCGACTCTTATATCTTGCCTAGCACCTTATTAACTCGATTTGTGAAGTATCTGCAAAGTCACGGTGTTGTATTTAATGAACGCTACCCAACGTGCTTGTGCTATTTTAACAACGTCATTAAAGGGTTATCGAATAAGTTCTATATTTTTTCATTGTTTTTGTTTATATTTAGATTAAGATAAATACATATGTATATCTATAAAATGATTATTTATGATGCTGACTTAAACCTGTTGATAAGTTAAGGCTCTCATTATTCCCACCACCTCAACTCACCCCAATAAACTTGCATATTCATTCGTGTCTTTTGGACAATGATAAACAAAAAACATTTTTTTTTATAATATAAATTGGATTTTAGTGATATGAAAAATGCCGAAACAAACAGAATATAATCTTCGGTATAAGGAGCAACAATTCATTTGAAAACATATAGTGATATAAATAAAATATTCTCAAGAAAATAACATTTTTTTAAATTTATTTTTGCTGGACTTTGTATTAATGCCTCTGTGGTGGGAAATCCCTCAAAGGAGAAAGGGAACTTGAAAAGGTGCCCTCTAGCGATGAAAATTCCAATTAACTCAATTTCGTCAGTTCTGGGTGTGGATTCCTGTTCTATGAAGATATGAAACGAAAAATATTTCCTTTATAATATTTTTTTCATTTGACATTTCTTTCCTCTTTAAAAGTTTTCATTTCACATTTTCATAGACCAAGAATTAAGGCCCTGTACTAGTTATAGGCCGTACTACTACAAAGTGTGACCCTGAGTAATGCGAAGGGAACCAATGACACTTTTTTCTCCAAGTAAACGAAAAGGCGACAGTTGCGAATAAATAAAAAATCTTGGTGGTTTTACAGGGTGAAATAAAAAAGAACTGCAACAAAGTCAAACGCCATAATTTTTACTTTTTTTTAAATTTTATTGAATCAATGCAAAAAAAAATGTCGGAAATAGCATCTAATTTTAGAATAAGTTTAAATTTGTTAGAATTGGTCACCTTTGACACGAACTATGGCCTTAAAACAGCCAATGAAACCTTCATAGGCTGCCCGAATGTTGATCTGCGTTATTTTGGCCCATTCCCGGATAAGGGCTTGCTTGAGGTGATCGACACTTTGGTATTATTTAGTGCCAACTTTGCTTTCGAAAATACTCCAGACACAATAGTCTAAGGGATTGGTATCTGGAGATTTTGGTGGCCATTGTACGCTGGAAATGAAGCGAGGAACCTCATTTTGGTAATGCTGAGTCCTGTTGGAATGTTCAAGGCCTGTGGCTAAAATGTTTGCGTGCCCAAGGCTTTAATATACCCTCCAGAATATTTTTGCGTTAATATTTGGCATTTATTCTGATGCCACGGCCGATTAATACGAGCGGAGAGCAACCATCGGCTGTTATGGCGGCCCACACCATCACCATGGCCGGCGCTTGAGTTCTGGTGGCCAACCGAAGGTGCACATTTTCAGCTGACCTTCTTTGACAAGTAAACACAACCATTTTGTTTCTTTACAAACTGCTGGAATGTTTTTCCACCGGAGAAAACCAAATTCGGCAGTTCACCTCTTTCAGGCAAAGCAAAGCAACTCTTTAGCTCTTTTGAGTCTATTTTCTTTCTGTTGCGGTGTAGGTTCTTGCACTTTTGGGTATTTCAATCTCTTTATCGTGAGCTTTGCCGAATGGAATATTGCGATATGTTCAGCTCACGAGCCATTTTTCGGCCACTGCGACGCGGGTTTCGATCAAGTCCCTTCTTTACGTTTCGAACCATTTCTGCTGATGTTGCTGTTTTCTTCCGGCCACTTCCTTGACGTCGGGCTACGCAGTGTCACGGTAACGAGCGATGGTACGAGACACAAAAGATTTATTCTTATTTAAATGCTGGAGTGCTCTAACGATAGCCACTTGTGGTTTTCCAGCCAAATATAATGATATTACACTAGTACACTTGAATTCCATCACGAATAACTTTTTTTCTGGAGCATTCTCAACAAAATGCTTTTGTACGCTTGTAAACCATATAATGAGCTGTCACTGGAATAATTTTAACAGCTGTCGGACGAGTGGCTTAGAATTGACAGCAGTCTCAAGTTGGTACTATTTTTTCATCTCACACTGTATGTGTGTATATTTTGTGCAATGATGTCGTGGTATTATGTAACTGACAGAGACCACGTTAATGAGCTTATATTACCTCAAAAGTTTCCTCTACAAGTGACAAAATTTATATCGGTTTTTATTCTTCACCTTTTCTTTAATTATTAAATCGCTTCACTAGTGGGACCAAGCTGTCCTTTTTCTACGGTCACCCAGTTGTTCCAACAAATATGGTGAGTGCGCTGCCTTAGTCTTCGCAGCATCATTCACCGTAAACTGAGGCGATACCTCCCCAAAGACAAGAGCTCTGATACGAATCAGTATAATTCTTTTCGTCCCTACCCCCCCGGGCACAGTTAAAAGAACAGGTGTAGTGATCAGTCACCGTTACGACGAGGGGTTTGTGAGGGTTCAAGAGCGATTTAACCACAACTCTTAATTTGCTCATACTGTTTCGAATGTTGCAATACATTCGTCATTATATGCTCCTGGATCAACTATTGATTTTATAAGAATCAGATCACAATGAATATTATCTAAAAATATATACGTGTAAATTAAACAGAAAATATTTTGTCCTCAACTGTATTCAAATGAAAGCAAAACCTATTCGATTAGTTCATCAACGTTATCAGAATATAAAGAAAACAAAAATTGATGATAAATAAATGTTCATTTTCCAACGGTGAAGAATTACGTCCAATTGATAAATTATGACAAAAAAAACAAACAATGTTTCACTTTGATTGTAAATGGAATATTTTCATATGAAAGTAGTTAGTTATGTATAACTATTAGATTATGGCTAACTTTTTCTGATTAATTATTTAAAATAGTTAGAAATGTTTTGATGTTAATAGTAAGAAAAACCAATATACAATTGTTTGAAAAAATGTTCTTAGAAAATAATAATTTTTTTTTTCAAATTTTCATGTCTCAATAATAAGTTTACTTAAAATCGAATAGATAAACTTTATATTTTTGTTCATAAAATTTGAAAAATTTCATTACTGTAAAAATTAAAAAATATTTACGCAATTTTTTTTTGTAAACTAATACATTTTTCAATTAAAACATGCGTTATACTTCGATCATACCAAACTTCATTTTATGCGTCGTCATCACGATGTTCGGAGCGAACAAATTCATATATCAACATAATTATATTTGATCGAAAAAAAATCCATTAACACATACTCGCTTAAATTTATTAGAAACGGGAATACAATGCTCGATTAACGAAACAATACTATTTTTAGAATACCGGTTTCACTTTGCGAATTGCCAGATTACACATCAAATTTTTGGCAATTCATCGTTACGAAGCAGAAAAATGTTAAAACGACATGAGATTCGTTCAAACCGAATTTGTTGTACCTTTCATTTCTATTGAAACATAAAATATTTTTGAGTTTTGCCTTGTTAAGGCGAAGATCATATGTTTTATGATTTAAGTTTTTGTTTTCTCTTTCGAGACGAGCTTAACGATCTGAAATTTGCATTGAAAAGGAAAGCCAGATAGACACTATCACACACTCACCACTATGCGACGCGTTTCGCCGTTTATTATTTTTGTTGAATGTAAATGTTATTTACAATAAACTGAATTTGTCAAAGATGCACAAAGGAATAAAGATAAATCCAAACCAAACGTCGTAAACTTGAACTAAACGAAGTTTGGAAAGCGGGTCATTTATTGACTGTCAAAAAATACCGCTCAAGAGATTATTTCAGAATATTTCTTACCAGAATATTTCTTACCAAAATCCCCAGTTTAAGATAACCCCATATTACACTACGATTGATGCATCTACTCAATTTTTATGCAGCAAGATATGTGTTAGTGATAGAAACGAGTAACCCCTTAAAAGGTAATGAAAAAACTACCTTCTGCGCTAAATATTGAGTAACGTTGTTGTGAGTTCTAGTCTCGGCTACGGCAAACGAAATAGAAGCATTAAACAAGTAAAAAAGCTGTAAGTTCGGTCGGGCCGAACTTTCAATACCACCATCCACCATCTGGAACGAATTTGGTTATTTAAAAAAAAATAAAATCCGTTAAAAATTCTGTTAAAATATTAAAAATACAAAATGTACCTGTTTAGCCAACTTTTGTTATAAGCCATTACATTATTGAAATGCGAAACTTGAAAAAAATCGGTGTATAATGTAGCTAAAATCATTTATATAGGGAGGTACTATTATACGGGGGCTATACCAAAATGAGGACCTGCACAGACAATTTTCTGCCTGAGGTTGCAGTATCCATTATGAACTTCAAATACCAAATTTGAAACAATTCCAGTGAATAATGTGGCTAAAATCATCCAAAAACAGTATATCGGGAGGTTCCGTTATATCGGGGGGCTATAAGAAGACATGGACTTCCACACACAATTTTCTGTCTTAGGCTGTAGTATCCATTTCGAACATCA